CAGCTCTCAGGATCGCGCTGTTTCCTGACGCGGGCGCTCCAGACCCGCCGCCATTTTTCTGTAGTACTTAAATTATTTTTAAAAACAATTATTATTTGTATTTCTCATATAGAAAAAAATTAAGATTCCTGTGTGTTAGTTTGCTTGGACCTTCATAAAACATACCACAAATTACGTGGCTTAAACATTAGCAATTTATTTTCTCACAGTTCTAGGGGCTAGAAGTCCAAGATCAAGGTGCCGGCAGGGTTATTTTCTTCAGAGGCCTCTCTTCTTGGCTTGCAGACAGCCGTCTTCTTGCTGTGTCCTCACATGGTGTTTCCACCAGTCCTATTGGATTAGGGTCCCACCCTTATGACCTCATTTAATTTTAATCATGTCTTTAAAGTTTCCATCTCCAAATACAGTCACATTCTAAGGTACTGGGGGTTAGGCCTCCAACATATGAATTTTAAGGGGATACAATTTAGCCCATAACACACACATACCCCCCCCCAAAAAAAAAAAGTATTCCAAACAGTGTGCAGAGCATGTGCCAAGGCAGGGAGGGGTGAAAGAGTGTGGTAGGTTCAGCACGCCGAGAGTGAAGACTGAGCAAGGAAAAGAAGCAAGAGGTGAGAGGAAGGGAGGAGCCTGGCCCCTCTGCCCCTGGGAAAAGGCAGCACTGCGTGGATGGACAATCACATATAGTTTACTAAAGCGTTTTACATATTTGGTCATCTATGTGGATAATGAGCTGTTGTTGCTAACTAGTCCTCTCTGCCTTCCTGGGCCTTGGTTTCTCCACGTGTAAGAGAAAACCAGATGGTGCCTGGGAAATCTGTGGGTCTTTGTACAACTCACCCGGCAGTCTGCCACATCCTACAAGCATGTCATGCTTTGGTCCCGATGACTGTGGCAAGGGAGGCTGCATAGTTGAGAGATGTCCACTAGCTGAGGACAGGAGTAGGCAAGCCCATGGCTTGTGGTGTCAAGTTATCCCCCCACACACAGTGGTGCCCCAGGATAGAGAAAGCACACTGCAGCCATACTTCCCTCGGGGCTCTGACTTCTCCTCAGTCCCCACCTGTCTCACTGGACCAGGAGGAGGAACACTGGGAAATGCCAGGGGTTCCTGATCACCTTTAGCTTTAATGCAGTAAATATCCATAAATCCTTCCCTGAGAACTCTGAGTTATTCAGTCAATAGGTCTTGAGTGCCTGCTGTCCAATCCACCGGCTCACCTGCACCTGCCCTGCCGTCACTCACCTGGCCCTGCTGGCAGCAGAGGCCTCCTTCTCCGAGGCCGCCCGCCATGGCCCTGGCTCCCCTCCCTTGTGCCCCCTCAGGAGCTGCCACTGCATGTTACCCCTGCCCCGCCTGCATCCTCCCTCTCTCCCTCTCTACCTAATCCTTCCTGTCAGCCTTTAAATAAGCCTCTTGATCTTTAAAAAAAAAAAAAAAGTGACTATAAAAAATCCTCCCTTGATTTCACTTTCCAGCTCTCAACCTCTTTCTCCTCTGCTCTTTACTGCCAACTTTCTCAAGAGATGTGTATGCTTCTCACTGCCTGTTCCACTAGTTAACGCCTGCTCATTCTCCACACCCCACCCCAACCCCTCTTGGCCTGGCTGGGACTGCTCACCCCTTGGATCTCAGCTCAAACACCAGCCAGCGGGCAGCCTTCCCTGACCCCCAGAGCAGGCCAGGGCCCCCAGCACCAGATGCTCGCACTGCTCTCAGCACAACTGCAGGTAAAAGACTAGCTGATGAGTTCTTTAACATACTCGTGCCATTGGCGACTGTGGTCTAGCAGGGCATAGATTGGCATGCCCAGTGCCTCCCTAGCACATGCCAGGCACATAGTAGGTGCTCAACAAATGTTTGCTAAATGATTAAAGGTTGACTACTAGGCCTGTGCTAGGCTGTGGAGATGAAAATAATATTTATTGAGGCCTAACTAAATGTCTGGCACTGTTAATTGTCTTTTATGCATTAATTCCTTTAATTCTCACAGCCACCTATGAGGTAATATTATTGTCTTCATTCTACAGATGAGGAAATGGAGTCACTTGCCATGGTTACATAGCTTATAAGGAGCAGAACCAGGATTCGAACCCAGGCAGGCTCCAGAACCCATGCTCTTACCACCATAGCACCCTTCCTCTCAGGCCTGGTGTCCCTGTTACACCTCTCTTGTATGGTGAGACCAGGAGTGACCCCTGCCCTCACAAAGCTTCCAGACTAAAAGGCCCATATAGGACGTGCCCAAGTAGACCAGGCCAGGTGTCGATCCTGAACAAAAGCAAACAAAGCAGTCAAGTCTGCTGGATATGACCTTCCACTCTTGTGGTACATCCCGGCAACCTCACATGGGCCCGTACTAGAGGCACAACCCCTTGGAGCGTAGCCATTGCCTGTAGAAGGAGGAAGCCACTGCTCATCAGCACATACTCGGGTCTCTGTGAGGGAGGCAGTGTTATCACCGCTGTATGGATGAGCAAGCTGAAGACTCTTGCCTAAAGTCACACAGCTAATAAGGGGTTGAAACCAGGTCTGTCTGATTCCAGATCCCATCTTCTTTCTTGGCCTCAAACTGCCCTCTTAGGACAAAGGTCCAAGTAGCCTGTCTACAGAAAAAACACACCTGCTGCCTCTCAGGGTACACGCTGGGCATGCTGGCTTTGACGCCAAGTCAGAACAAACGGATCCCAGGTTTAAACCTAACCCTGCCACCAGGGAAGAGAAGAGGGCTGCATTACCTCCTACAAACTTTAGTCAGGTTTGTTCTCTTTGCATTATATATGCTAGATCTCTTAACATCCTCCCTGGCAGCAATCTGACCAATAAGAAATAAACTTCCTAAGAAATACAGTTTTGTCCAGTATGGTAGCCACTAAGCACATGTGCCTGTTGAGCACTTGAAATGACCAGTGCAAATTGAGATGTGCTGTAAATATAAAATTCATGCTGAATTTTGAAAACTTAGTATGCAAAAAAAAAAGGTAAGCTCTCTCATTAATAATTTTCTATAATGATTCCATGTAGAAATGTTAACATTTTGGACCTGTCAGATTAAATAAAATGTATCACTGAAATTAATTTCACCTGTTCCATTTTACTTTTTGTAATGTGGCTAGTAGAAATGTGGAAGCAGAGTCCTGTTTAGAAATCTGCTCTCAGCATTTGTAGACAGTATCTCTGCTCCTCAGACTGAGCTCAGTTGTGAAACGGTGGCCTTTGATGGTGTGCTGTGTATCCTTTATTCCACAGGAGGATGCAGACGTGGAGTGGAAATTTGCCCGAGCAAAACTCTGGCTGTCTTATTTTGATGAAGGAAGAACTCTACCTGCTCCTTTTAATCTAGTGCCAAGTCCTAAATCATTTTATTATCTCATAATGAGAATCAAGATGTGCCTCATAAAACTCTGCAAATCTAAGGCCAAAAGCTGTGAAAACGACCTTGAAATGGGCATGCTGAATTCCAAATTCAGGGTAGGTAGCATCCAGTTTATGGGGCTAGAGAAGGCAGTGGGAGGGTGAGGACTGAGTTGTGTGTGTTTGATTCAGATGGTGGCCCCTGACCCAAGGGAAGTCAGGAGCTGGGGGGCGCCACTGCTCTTCAGAATCTGCTGGCACATCAGCAAAGGCTGCCTGTGGTTCCACCCCTTCTCCTTGCAGGTCCTTGGAGAGGTGCATTATTAGGGACTCAGCAAGCTGCCTGGCTGAGCAGTGACCCCAGTGAGTGCAACTCCTGAGTGAACTTGGAAGTGGTATAGCTTTTTCCAGAAAGTACCTGGAGAAAGATTTCTGAAAAGAAATGTTCCCTGCCCATTCTCTCCCCTACCTGGAGATTCTCAGTGTTGATTAGCATATTAAAACCTCTGAGGAGTCCTTGAGGAAAGACACCTTCATAACTTTAACTCAGTGCTTTCCCAAAGTTACCAAACAACATTCTGTAACCCTTGTTAACATTCTGCAGAACTAAAGTTCCCAGAAACAGTGTTCTGGGAAGCTAAGCAGCAGCAGTACATGGGCCTATATGTGGCTGCTGTTCAAGTCCGTCTGTATATGTATGTATATATGTATGTTCTGTTTCCAGAAGACTCGCTACCAAGCTGGTATGAGAAATTCTGAAAACCTGACAGCAAATAACACTTTCAGCAAGCCCACCAGATACCAGGTAATGACCACTTTCCCAGCACGGACAGGAGTAGACGCAGTTAAGATGTGGATTTAGCCCCGTAGCTGTATCATTCCCCCAGAACACATCTTCATTCCTCCCTTCATTGAACAAATACGTATTGAGTGCCTCTGTATGCCAGGCACTGTGCTGCTTGCTGAGATACAGACACGGTTCCCACCTTAGTGGCCCCTCTGGTCTAGGGAGGGAGAGAGACATTGAACAAGTAAGCACACAAATATTTATATGACTTCAAATTGATAAAAGTGCAAAGAAGGACACAATAGAGTTCCAAGATAGAGAAAAATAGGGAGCCCCTGCTCAGATATAGTTATCAGAGAGGGCATCTTCAAGAGGACAGTTCGCGAAGACCTCACGGATGAGCAGGAGGCGCCTCATGGGCCTTCCAGGTAGAAGAAAAGGGAAAGGCCTGAGGGGAGAAGCATGCAGGTCTGGAGCAGCCTGGGGAGCAGCCCAGCCCCACGAGCAGGAGAGAGCAGAGGGGGATGCGGTCAGAGGGAAGTCAGGGGCCAGACCCCTGTCAGGATGTGGATTTTATTCCAAGTTCGTAAGGTCGGCAGGGGAGAGGGGTGACTTCGCAGGGGAGGGTGGATGATTGTATTTGAAGTTGTACTTATGCTTTAAGAAGGACCACCTAGCTGCTATAATGAGAGGAGACAGGCAGTGACAAGAGTGCAAGCAGGGAGACCGGTAGGGAGAACGTGAGAGTCATCCGGGTATGAGGGATGGTGGCTTGGATTGGGCTGTGAGTAGGGCAGTGGGGAAAAGCAGACAGATTCAATACACGTACATTCCGGATGTACAGCCAACAAGACCTGATGCTGGTGAGTATGGGGGAGGGAGGGACAGTAGCCAGCATGACTCCCAGATGTCATAAGCATCCAAGTGGAGATTGGTGTCTTCAATGAGCACCTGACCTTAGACTACTAAGTCTGTTGTTATAAAAATTACAAAAAGACCTTTTATGCTTGCAATCCTTGCATTGCTTTTGGAAATGAACGCCAAATCTCTGTTATCAGTTTGAATCAGCCATGAGCCAGGGATCAATGGTAACTACAGGTGATCGATTACAAAAGTGTAGGCCATTCTTTTCTTGCCTTCCACTGCTCCATGATCAGCAGTTTTATCCATGCTGATCATTTCTTATCAGATGTAAATGTGAAGCTGTCCTGAGCATTCTTTTCATCCGAGGTGAAAGTCCCTGCTGCCACCTTCCCAAAGGGAACAATTACAGATTTAACATCTTCTAGACACAGGTCTCAAATTGAATCTTTCCATCCATATTTCAGAAGCCAGCTGTGCAGTTAAGAGGATTTAATTGTACAATTAAGAAATGGCTTATCCCTCAAAGCACTTATAGTTTTATCAGATGACAGCGACTAAAACTTGGCAATGCGCAAATCTTGTATTTAATTGTGCACGAAATTGAGACTGCCCAGTTTGATCTGCTTTGAGTTATTTTACAGGCCAAATCCTTTGGTCAGTGGAAGGGATTTTATTTCTTAGCTTCTTGGAGACACTTATAGATTATCTGTATCACGGAAAGGATAGAAAAGCCTTATGGGTTAGGGCCAAATCTCTTCCTGGGTTTTGAGCAGAATCAGCTACAGAGATAAAGGAAGACTGATTATGTGTCACCGTCCTAAACCCAGAATGACTCCTTTCTGGACAAGTTAGTTTTCAAAAGCAGTCTCAGAGCAATCCCATTCCTGTCTTCTGTCATCACAGGTTGAGTCTCTGCTGCCCTAAATCTCCCCAGTAACTTCCTGCTGTGATTACAGAGTTTGGTCAGTTTGCAGCTTCAGGCTACTGATGACCTTGGAAAGCTTTGCTCACCTCGAGTTTTGTGAATCCTTGGAGAAAAGCCTGGGGCTATTTATTCAAATAGTTGTCACAGAAAAGAAGAAAAACTGGGCCAGTAGGCATCAGAGGGGAAGGACTGAGCAGACAGCAATGGGAGCTGGGAGCACCCTGCATTCCTGCATTTGCATATTGGCACTCTGCTCAGCCCTGTCAGGCTAGGTCTTGGCATCTTCCTCAGCCATCATCTGCTCATGATCAGAAAACCATAAGACGACACTAAAGGACAGCTGGCAGCAGGCTAAACACCAGCCCAGGTATAGCCTCCCCATATTCCTGGAAGAGGAGCACTACATTTAACCTCATTGAACAGATGAGAGGACTGAGCCTCAGTGGCTGAGTGTGCACAGCTGGTTGGACTGGGATCTGTCTGACTCACAAGAGCTCCTTCCTTTACCACATCACACTGCCCGGGCACTTGGGCATCTCCGTAGCATTGTATCACAGTCTTTCTCGGCACCTGCTTTGGCCATGTTTGACAGGCACTAGGAAGAGATCTACTTGAGCCTTCCAATCCTTGGTGAGGAGGCCAGGAGCAGCAGGAGGCACTTGTGCACTTCTGAGATTGCCCACAGCCACAGGCCAAAGCAGAAGGACAGACTTGGGCAGGGATCTGACTGTGACTCATCTGTTTTCTTGGGCCCACTAGTGGCCCTTGAAGTTCTAGAGCTTTCCTCCCAAGGCAACTTCCAAATGTGCAGAGAACATGAGGAGTCCAAGTGCCTCCCTCTATCTTACTATCCAGGCTATACCCAGAGCTGTCATCTTTCTGAGTCCATATCCCGTTGGCCTCTCCCCCAGCCATGGCGCTGAGAAATCCTGTGGCAGTCCCAAAGAGACAGGAGCACCGTCGTTCTTGCACATTTAGTTATTAAGCTTGTTCCTTGTTGTCTCTTCATTACAGCTTCTCAGTGGTTAGTGTTCTAGGTGTTTATTTCAAGCTTGTCAATCCTTCAGCTTTTTTGAGACCTTTGTTCTAAGGGAAGAGAGCTTCTTCAGACTTCACAGGCTCTCTGTGCTTTTCTTTTCTTAGACTCCCGGGTGTCTGAATGGTTATTTTTCGCAAAACTAGTTTCTTGCTTATGAAATGTTTTTTTCCAATCTGGGCTCTGTGGACATGAGATCAAACAGTGGAACACAACCATCATATTGGTGAGATGGCCAAAGTGTGCCTCCTCTCAAAGCCACCCTGTGACCTGTTCCAAGACCCAGCGTGTCAACTCATTGGGAGATATACAGACCTTATATACTCCCTCTCTGAGAGGTACATATCTTGATGGACAGAGCAAACAAGCCACACCCCAAATAAACCATAGAATCCAGGCACAGTCCATCATTCAAGTAAGCCCCAATCTTTATGTTGTAATCTCTTTCCCAAAACCCAGTGGGAAGTCCTCTTTTTCACCTTCTAGCTGCCCTTTACTGTATAGATCAAAGCAAGTAGAATAGACAGCTTGCTAGGGCTTATTTCTGCTATTCTAGTGTCTGAGAAACTCCAGTTTAATAAGTGACTTGTTCTGCAATCCATTTTGTCCACTCTCTTCCAAATGTTCCTCAATTTCTATTTTCCTAAGTGGCAACATTTCTTCCCTCTGGATTCAACTTCATTGACCATCTTCAGCATAGAGTACGTGTTCTCTTCCTTGTCTGTGTTCTTAGCTGCTCCTGAGCAGAGAGAGTCGTCTCTCCCATAGGAAGACTTTCTATGTTCCCCTCCACTGGCAGTGGCCAGAGGCCATCTGACCCTTTGGATCTAGGCTGGGAGAACTGTGTGCCTCCCTCCCCAAATGTGGGTCTCCATGTGACAACTATTCTTATCCATGGTGCAGCTCTTTTTCATCCACTTGAGTGGTCTTTTGCCTGAGTAATATTGCTAAATATACCCATCTCCAGTACTTGCTAAATGCACAGGGCAGGGTGGGGAGAGTGGCCACCAACAGGGACATGTGAACTTGGGGATAGTTTATTTTCTTCATGAAGTAAAAGAACTCCGAGGAAGATAGCAAGGAGATATCTCAACCTCATCACAAAGGAACAGACTTTCCTCCACACAATGAAGGAGGGGAGGCTTTTGATGTACATCTTTTCTGGAAACAGATATTCTTTGTGGCATCCATGTTATATAGAACTTTTGAGCATTTGCCAACCATTTCAAACTTTCTGGTGGTGAAAATAGCATCTTGCTCTTGCAGATCCCAAGTTATCTAACATGCACATGCCAGAGGGGAAGATAAGTCCCCATGAGGACACAGAGTCTCTAAGGACTGGCAGGTGCTCATGCTGCTCTCCCTGAAGGTCCCTGTCATTCCTGGAAGTGACCTGAGGGTGGGGAGAAAGGTCAAAGGGTCCCTGCACATCTGCAGTGCTCATCTGATTCTACTTCCACGTGAAGCCACTGTAATCCTAATGCATGTTGAGGGCTTAAAAGTGAACCTTTGGGGCTGGCCCCGTGGCTCACTCGGGCAGTGCGGCGCTGGTAGCACCGAGGCTGAGGGTTCGGATCCTATATAGGGATGGCTGGTGCGCTCACTGGCTGAGCGTGATGCAGACAACACCAAGTCAAGGGTTACGATCCCCTTACTGGTCAAAAAAAAAGTGAACCTTTGCTTTTCTATCCTTTGCACCCCAGGTCTGCAAAAACCCTAGCTCAGGTCAAACAAGCCAGTGCTCAAGAGTGGTCCATGAGCACTTACACTAATGCCATACTGGTGACCCTTTTCCCCCAGGAGTGACCACTGGATGAAAGGATGGATGAAGTTACCCATCCTTTAAAATCTTTGAGGCTTTCTCCTGCAAGGAAAGACTTGGAACCCAGAAGTGGAGGAAACTCCCTTTAACTAATGGGAGCCAGTTTCCTGCATCTCATTCACAAAGTTGTCTTGCACTTAACCTTTTTCTGAAGCTCAGATGAAGCCCCACCTTTGGTTTCCATTTTGGTTAAAACCCAGATCTGCCACCTCCTGGCTGTGTGACCTCAAGAAGTCACTTCACTCTCTGAACCTCGGTATCCTCACCTGTAAATGGAGACGTCAGCTCCCGTCTCCCTGAGTTTCTGGGAGGATTCAGTGAAATCATTTTTGTGAGACAGGCTTACACAATCCTGGTCTACAGGACACACTCAATACATTTGTTTCTTTGCTGCTTTCTTGTCCTTTCTCCCTTCCTCTTAGGGGACTATTCTGCACTGAAGGAGGCTTGTGAGCAGGATCTCACCTGTTTAAAACAAATGGAATTTGAAGGGCACATTTTGTATCAATAGTAAACATATACTCTGGAATATTTTTAAATAACCAGTTCGATCACGTTGTGCTGAAACAGTGTGCACACTGAGCAGAAGGACTGCAGTTGTGGCTGTACCTATGAAAGGTTTCCACTCAGCGCCACTTCACTTCCAGTCTCTGGCTTATCGTTTTACATCATAACTATTTAGCTCTTTAATCAGTGGATCCTGATTAAAAACTGGGGAATCCTTAACTCATGAAGTTTGCCTTGAAAAGACAACCATCTTTAACTAGATCCCCTTAACTTGTGTCAGCCTGAAAGTTTGCATTGGAAAAATACTTCTGAATTTCTTATTCAGTTAGCATGGCAGATTCTTAGGTATCTAGGGTTTTTTCCATGAGAGCTACCGCAGGAAAAAGGTTTTGTTTGCTTTTCTTATTCAAAGTGAAAACATTATTGGGCCTAACCCATGGCTCACTTGGGAGAGTGCGGTGCTGGGAGCACAGCAGCGCTGGGAGCACTGAGGCCGCAGGTTCGGATCCTCTATAGGGATGGCTGGTGTGCTCACTGGCTGAGCGTGGTGCGGATGACACCAAGCCAAGGGTTCCGATCCCCTTACTGGTCACACACAAAAAAAGTGAAAACATTATTGAGTCTCATGGAAAGGTATATATTCTTATAACTTAGATAACCTATTATATTGACTGTAAGAATGTCCATGAGAAATCCAGCACTGCAGTTTAACCACTAATACGATAAAGCCTTTCTGAGAAGGAGCAGCATGAGGCAACTTGCTAATTAACTTCTCGGCCTGGCATTAGATCACAAATCAAACCACAGGATCAAGTGGGCCATGAGCCCGAGGGCTGAGCAGGGCCTATGCTGGTTTGAATGAGTTGACCCAGCATCATCGAGAGTCTTGGCTGGGTTGAGGTGATGTCCTGGAATCCCAACCTGGGAGATGCCTCCTTGGCAAGGTCTTCACCATTAAAGGTGTGGAGAAAATCATTAGTTCAGGATAATAATGAGTTTGATCCTCCAGATCTTTGCATCCAATTCACTTTCCTTCTGCTTGCAAGAAGCTTTTCCTGAGTCCATCTAGTTTGAGAGAACTTAGCAGCCTGCTTCACATCACACAGCAAAGCCAGGGACAGAATTCGACCCACACAGGTTTCTTGAATCTAGAAAATTCTGCCTCGACCCCTCAGTCTTCAGGTGTGAGCAGGAGAGCAGGTCACAGGAAGGGATGACTGGCGAGCAGGGAAATCCCTTCTCCTTTTCCATACTGCTCATCTAGCACAAGATTCAGAAGTCTCAGCCACCAGAATATTTTTAAATCCTGTGATTTCACAGGAACCCTGGAACAACTTAGCTGGCAAAATCCAAAGTTCACCTCCTGCAGTCTTTCTTACACTTGGCTCTATTCTTGGTGTCTCTTAAGTGTTTATTCATGCCTCGTTTGCTTAAAGTATACAGTTTCTGCATAATAAACGGAACATGAGGGCCAAACTCTTCTCCTCCAGTGTGACTGGTGGCACAGTTAGGCCTGTGGGATTTCATGGGAAGTGGCATGTCTGCAAACTTCCAGAGGCCCTACTGTACCAGCTTCTGCTTCTGGCAGGAGTTTCCTTGTCCTGCAAGCCTGGTCCTGACTTTTGTACCAAGCTGATCTCTCATGAACAGCACACCTCTCACCGCCACCTCTGAGGGATGCAGTTCCAGCTGGCTGGCCTGCCAAGCCTTTCCCAGTATTCCCTCCTTGAAATAGAACTGAGGCCAGGGAGGAAGACATGACTGGTCAGGGTAGAGTCAGGACTACGATCCTCAAGCAGCCCCATGGATCCAAGATGATTCTCTTTCTCCGCCCCCCCTCTCTCTCCCCATCTCTCCCCCCACCCCCTTGGCCCAGCTTCTTGCTGTGGAGAAGTGTCCTGTTCTTACATCCAGGGACAGGTGGGCACTAGAGGGAGGTTAACAGAGAGACCAGACGGGTTCCCCCAGTAGGCAGGGCCCCCGCCAGAGCGAGGCAGTAGGCATGGCGGGGCCCCAGGGCTGTCGAGGTGTGGTGGGGAAAGGAGGGTCAGGCTGCCTCTGCGCTAAGCTGGACTTGTCCAATCTTCCTTGCTTCCTATTTCAGAAAATCATGAAACGGCTCATAAAAAGATATGTCCTGAAGGCCCAGGTGGACAGAGAAAATGACGAAGTCAATGAAGGTAAGTGATTGGGTCACCACAAACATAGTGTCGTAAAACACAATTTCTGCAGTTCGGAAGCCAGACCTGGGTCTCACCAGGCTAAGGTCACAGTGTTGTCGGGTGCTGTGTTCCTTTCTGGTGGCTCTCGGAGGGGAGCAGTTTCTGGCTCATTCAGGTGCAGGCAGGATGCTTCCCATGCAGCTGTAGGCTGCAGTCTCCATTTCCCTGCTGGCTGCAGCTGGGCTGCCCAAGCTCTAACTTGGAGGCCACCCTCCAGTCTCTGCATATGGCCCCGACATTTGAGTCAGCAGCAGGGCGGCAGATCCCCTCACACCTTGTCTCTGTCATCCCATCCCTCTGACCCACCCCTCTGCTTTCCTTCTCCACTTTTAAGGATTCATGCAATTAGATCGGGTTCACCTGGATAAGAGTAACTGCTTAAAATCCAGAGTAATCTCCCTATTTTAAGGTCAGCTTAAATTAGGATATGATTAACACCCTTAATTCCATTAGTGACCTTAGCTCCCATTTGCCATGTATCACAACCATATTCACAGGCGGAACACCAGGGATTAGGATGTGGACATCTTGGGAGTGGGTGACATTATCCTGCCCACACACTGATGGCTGCCTTGAGTCTGCCTCATGTCTCTTGAGTTCAGGATGGCCAAGAATTCCAGTGCCGGTGCCTCGTTCCATGGGCACGCATACAGGGTGGGCAGACTGTTCCGCATTTTTGGAGTCTGCCTCCAGCTCAGTTCCAACTGACCCCGTCTGGTCTCAGTTCCAGGTTCTAGAATCTGACAGCCAGCAGTGTTTCTCAAAGTATCCCCACCTCAGAACCAGTCGTTAAACCTGCAGACCCTGGACCCACGCAGACCTAATGAATCAACATCTGCGGGATGAGGCCCGGGGTTCTGCATTTGGATCATAGCACCAGGTGACTGGTGCATACTGAAGTTTTCAGACTACACTATTTTCACTGTTTGCGTTACTTTCCAGTCTATTTTAAGCTGTTACTCTTAACTGAAAAGCAAATTACCTTATACCGGGTAGTTAATCTTCATGAGAGACCTAGAATAAACATTGGCTGCCTGGAAACAGCTTCATCCATGACTGAAGTCACTAAGTCTCCCCTCACTTGGGCCACAGGGGGCTACTGAAGGAGCCCGGTCATTGAGTGACATCTGCTTGGTCCTGGGCACCCAGCATGCAGCACAAAGCTCAGCAGGGACCGGGCTGGGACTGTTACAGGGCTAGGCAGCAGCCCAGCCATCCACCCCTCCTCGTGGGTCTCAAACATAAAACCGCTGGGTGTCACGCCAGCCAGCCTCACACAGTGCGTAACTGTGATCGAGGTCACTATAACTGATCAAAAGAGGTGGGGTACCCATGTGTCATGCCACTTAAATTATACCTTGGAACTGAGGTAAAGCGGTGAAGCACCTAGTGACAAGAAAATAGGGGGTGTATGCATTTTTGAAAATGAATCGAATTGTCTCTTCAATATCTCTGCATTTTATGTATGGAAAGCCTACCTGAAAATAGACATGACGAGTCCTCAGGCAGTGGACTCCCACATGAGTTAAGTCCAGCATCTGTAGTATCAGCAAAGCCCCTTTTGACTCCCCTTTGTGGTTAATAATAAGATTCTCACAACCCAGACCCATTGGACTTCTAACCATGGGGCTCACCACGGGGATAAAAAGTGGAAGTCCCCGCTTAGCGGTCCCTTGTTAGGGAACGAGGCGTGCAGGCGCTGCCATGGCTGCGTTAATATTTAGTCAAGCAGCACTGCGCGCATGGGCTGCATGACCCTGCTCTGCTCGCCGCTGGGGGCTGGCCGGATCCATGTCTGTGGCCTCTTGGGAGTTTCTCCTCTCTATAAATAATGACAGAACAAAACATAGAGTGTCATGAAATTAAATGTTCCAGTTAATGAGGGTGTTGCTCAACACCCTTAACTATCATTATGTGAAATAGTGCTAGACACAGTTCACAACCCTGATCCCAACTCTTCCTTCAAGCCCTTTAGGGAGAGGTTTTCCAGGATCGGGAGGAGAGGGGCTTTAAATGCATGCATGTATCCTTCAGTGATGGGGAGCTGGATGGGTCTTAGGCCAAAATAGAGCCCCCATTGCCTCACCCCCACCCCTGGGGGCTGGACCCGTACCCCGAGGTGCTGCTGGAAGGATGCACACCCCACATGTGTATACTCAGCAGAATCTTGTCTGTCCTTGCAGGTGAGCTGAAGGAAATCAAGCAAGATATCTCCAGCCTGCGCTATGAACTTCTTGAAGAGAAGTCTCAAGCTACTGGTGAGCTGGCAGACCTGATCCAACAGCTCAGCGAGAAATTTGGAAAGAACTTAAACAAGGATCACCTGAGGGTGAATAAGGGCAAAGACATTTAGCAGCCCACACCGGCATCTGTGACTTCTACCAGCATTCCAAGGCCAGGTTGGATGCCCTGGCCCCCAGCCCAGGTGGGAAGGGGTCCTGCACCGCTCCTCTAGGACACGAAGGGGGTCCACTGGCTCAGTCTTGAGAAGCATCGCTGACTCTCCAGCCTTGTGGCCTGTACCCAGAATTGCTGTGAATCTAGGCTGTTGGGTAAGAAAAGCTACCACAGAAAGAGGGGAGGAAATGCCCCTGACACACGTGAGACCTTCAGTCCAGCTGCAGTGAAATGCATCCCTGTGGCCAGAGCAGGAATGGGCCGTCCTAGATGCACACACGTGCCCTCCCGCTGCACATGGGACCGCAGCTTTGGCTGTGTCGGGGAAGACAAACCACCTCATCACATAAGCCCCTTCTCGCTCCCTCCCCACCATCCGCACACGTTCAGACAGAACTGGGAGGTGACCTGTGACTACTCTTAAGTGCCAGATGAGAACACAGATAGCCTAATAGCAAAATACTTATATTTGTTTATATATAAAAAAAAGTTTAAAAATCCTAAATCAAAAATTGTACTGTAGTCACAGCACTGTTTAGAGAACAACAGCAAAATCCAAATGATGTATTTTTACCTTTATTAAGATTATCTTGTATTTACTATTTTTACCTGAAATGGGAAGAAATAAAATTACCTCATAATAGCCTGGCAGCCTCTGTGGATGTGCTGCCAGGGCCATCCTGCACCCTGCCTGGAGATGGCCTTGGAACCCACGGGCCAGGGATGCTCTGGGAGGGGAATGAGCCCGTGAGAGGGAGAAGGTGCCAAGCTCCTGAGTCACATAGCCAGGACCTCCAAGAAGTTATGGGCTCTGGCCTCCACCTCCAAGCCCTTCCTCCTATCCCCAGACCTAGTGTCCCCAACCTCGCCAAGGTCAGAGAGGAGGCAAAGGAAATAATGAGGGAAGTGGCAAGTTTTCTCCCACCCCATCTCTCCAGCTTTACTCCAGGGTGTGGGACGGGACCAGAGGGGTGCCGAGAACGGAGCCCAAATCTCCTCTCTAGGCCGGGCCTGAGTGTGGGTAGGGACAATGGCCACCAGAGGGCGCCCAGCCCCAAACAATGCCCGTTCTGTGTGGGTTGGAGAGGATGCCATTGGAATCCCGCAGACCCCACTGGGCCCAAGGAAACACCTACTTTAATACTGGTCAAATGTGTCGAGCACTTACTGCGTACCAGGAACTGTGCTCAGGGCTTTGGAGGCATCAGTCCACTGAAGCTTCACAGAAACCCTGCGAGAAGGGTCAGGGTTACAAATTCAAATGCCTTGCAGATGCCCTAGAAGTGAAGGAGTGTGTGTGTGTGTGTGTGTGTGTGTGTGTGTGTGTGTGTGTGTGTGTGTGTGTAGAGGGCTTGTGTTTCAGGATATACAGCATATCTTCAGGGCAATGTTTCTTAACTCTGCTATAAGAAAACAGCAAATCAGATGAGATGATCAGTAGAAGGGAAGCTGGTCCCAGCACTGAGGGGGCGAGGAGGGGCTCGGACAAAAAACACAGCCATGCCTTACCTAAAGCAGGCTGCACTCAGCCCAGCCAGTTGTTGCCATAAGGAATACAGGCCTCGTTTTGCCAAATTTTTCCAATTTCTGGGGGAAAAAATGTCAACATTTGTTGGGCCCCTGACAGCCAAGACAGATGACCAGAGAGGATGCTTCTGGGCTGCAGCTCCACATTGGGTCTTCCCAGCCTGATCTGCACCACTACCAAGTGCACAAACAGGACAGAAGTAGGGGCGTCCCACAGGTACCTTGGGCATGCTGCATATGCAGGGCACTCGACAGATGTAAACGCTGGCCCAGAGTCTCTGTGAGGGACAATGGACAGATTTCAAAGAACCCACAAGTCCTGAAGTGGCCTTCAGATTGCTTGTCCTTGTGTCTGTGTTGTTCTGGAGAGAACGCCTGCCACTTCTCTCAGATACTCGGCCACGCCTCCTGAGCCTGCAGATGAGGAATAAATTCATCCAGCAGACATTTACTGAGTTCCTTGCCAGGTACTGGGGATGAGCTATATGTGTCCAGTGTGGCTTCTTTTTAAGCCTGGACCCTGAATAGGGAGGCTAATATGCTTTGTAGGAAGAGCAATTGATTTATCCAGGGGACGAGTTATGGACACTACTGGAAGACTTCCTTTCAGACGTCCCACTTATCTTCATCAGAATGCTCACAAACACTTCTGAGGTGCATTATTCAATTTCCCTATCTGCCTGCAACCAGAGGCAGGTGGCAACCCCATTTTCAAACTGTGGAGCACCCTTTTCCTATCAAACCAAGTCTCAAATCTGTTCCTTACCATGATAAAGAAAAACACATCCCACAAAGTAATTAAAACCTGGAAAAGAAAACCAGCGCCATGCGTTAGGCTTTTAATGCCCCATCTGAGAGGTCAAGGTGGTCCAGGAGTGGATTCATGGCTGCCAGATGGATATGGGGACAGGCAGGGGAGAGACCCGCCCTGGTGGAGAGCTGTTGGAGAGGCCTGGGACTGAGGGCTGGCAGAGCTCATCAACCTGGGATGGGGCAAGCACTCCATGATTTTCCAGGCACTGACAACATCCCTAGCTTGCCCTATCTCCCTGGCCCATGTTGAATTAGCCAGGCAGGGGAAGGGAGGAATGGAACTTTAGAGGGGCTCAAGGACAGACGAGCAAGGAGATAAGAGAGCCCAGGCCCTCTCTGAAAAGTGCACGGACACCCCTGAAGTCATGTGCACCTCCCAAAGCACCCATGTCTCCCCGCAGCTCTGCACACTGTCATCATTCCATCTACAACTTTAATGTGTGCATTTAGATCTGTCTTCACTGCTCTTAGGGAAGCTCCATGAGCGGCCCAGGTCTCTTTTATTCCCCACTGGGTGCTGGCACAGGGCCACAGAGGAGACACTCAGTGGATTACTGCCGGGCCTTCTGGGCCCCAGTTTTCAGAAGGTCCTTCAGACACACCATGGGCCCTGGAAAACTGAGTAAGTGGGTAGAAAACACAAGTCATCCCCGCTGTGCCCCGGCCCAGGCATGGCTGAAACGCGTGGCTCCTTCCCTCCTCACCTCGCGCCCGTGACCTTTACCCAGCACAGCACACTCCGCTCACTGCGCACGGGCCTCAGGAGTGGCAGCCCAGTCCAGGCCTGCTGGGTAACCAGTGGTTAAGCAGCGAGTTCTCCAGTGACCTGTCACTTTCCAATGGCTCCTAATAGGACTCAGCAAATCATAGTGACACTTCCCCGGCAAAAAACCCCAATTAGTCCCCAGAGCTGTTGCTAAAGGACATGTGCTCACACACTTGAGAAAGCACAGCAGCCTCTCTGCCCATCACGGACTATCTCCTTCCCTCCCAGCAAGGCACAAAGACAAAAAATTGGCCAACACAACCCAGGCTGGGGGAGGTCCCCTAAGGCAGGCCTGACTCCACGGAAGCTGCTCAAGTGGCCGCAGGCCTGGGAAGGCCGTGACCAGACACCCTCATGGGGAGGTCTGGGCACCTTGCCCTGCTCAGGAGCACTCACGTCTGGTTAAAAATAAGTGGACTCATGGGCTGTCACTCCTCCAAGTGTTCATTAACACTTATGTAAAGCACCGAGTGTGAGGCCCCAGAGGCTGGCAGGCAGCAGGATTCTGATCCGCTGAGGCAGGCAGGCACGCACGCCTCCATTCTGTTTATCCCAGCTCTTTCCTTCATCCCTCAAAGAGTGAAAGTTCCAGAAGGAAGGAACTCCAGGAGAGACACATAGATGTAAGTCAACTGACGCTGGTGACCAATCAGGGAAACCTCCCAGGGCAGCAAGCTCCAGAGGCTAACCGGACCTCCTCGCGGTCCTGGGAGCATGGCCCACCACTCGGGGATCACACTGTAGGGACACCTAGCAACTTCTGGCCCAGTATTTCTCCTTTGCTTCCCCACCCAATGCCAGCAGGCAGCTAGGAGCTCCTATGCCATTTGCTTCAGGGCAGGAATGGCACGGAAAGCAGGAAAAGAGAAAGGAGTGCCCTGAGCCGGTCTCCAAGGGCCTGAGTCCTTAGAGCAGGGAGAGGATTGAGGGAAGAATCAAAAAGCTTGCGAGAAATGGTGGTTGAGGCGCGTGGGGCTCTCCCTATCCTGAAATGCTTCCTGCAGAAGGGGCAGGAGAGGAATGAGAGCAGAGAGGTGAGGGCGGCCTCCTGCAGAGCCGGAGGTGGTTCGGCATTGCTAGAAGGAGCAGGAACCAGCCAGCGCCTCCCTCAGCAGCTGCAGGGGAGGACCTCCAAAGCAGCCGGCCCCGCCCCCACGCCTGGGGAGAGAGGAGGAGGGAGGGGCAAAGTGGCCTCTCACTGCAGTAGTTTGAAAAGTGCTCATGTCATATCCTCAGAGTGTCTGAGTCGGAAATAACTGGACCCATCAGGGCCCACTATGCCTTGATATGGTGCAGCTGGGCCAGCTGACAAAGAGGCCCATGTGTCCTGTGGCAGCCAACATGCTGCCTGGGGGACCCTGACATCCCCTCCCCCCCACCACACACCACACACACACACACTCATCAGCGGCCCCCACCCAGCTGGCAGCACGTTGGGGAAACAGACAACAAAAGAAGGCAACTTAAATGTGCCAAATAAAAATTTAAGGGGACACTTTCAGGTGTCTGAGGGTTAGTCCAGCCACTCTTAGGGTAGACTACACTTCTAACTTTGCCACATCCACCCCCAACCACCTCTCGTGTCAGTGTATATGCAGGGATAGAACAGAGAGATGGCAGGGCAGGGGCCAAGAGGAGAGGGAACTAGCAGAAAGGGGTGTGGAGCATGTGGCTTTGTGCTGGCTGTGACCCCCTCCTTAGCTGGTAACAGATCTCATTCCACCGTAGACACAAGCCAGCACCTAACCCCAGTGCAGCCAACCAGAGTGCCCAGCTCCCCTGAAATCAACAGCAGACCCAAGTAGAGCCAGCCATGGTCCTTCCTTGAGTTTATATACATGTGGACACTGGATAAGACAAGTCTTTTCCTGGTAAGGTTGCTGAACAGGAGAATGCAAATCTAAGACACCAGGAGACACCTCCCTGCCACACAGGGAGAGACTGCAAATGAAGTCAAAGAGAGACGAGAACTAGAGAGAAAGGAGAAGAGGACGTAGTAGGGGAGGGAGGGAGAAGAAAGGAAAGGGAGGAAAGGGGGACATGTGTGACATGGGCCAGTTCCTGATGCTCTGCTTCCCACGGCTCTTCCTTAGCACTGGTGACCTGTTCCAGAAGCCTTCTCAGCCTCACCAGTAAGTAAGTCCCATTTTTGTTTAAGCTAATTCGCATTGGGTTTCTGTCCTGATAAACACAGAAATGATGCTATGACTTCATTTCCCTACCCTTCCATTGGGGCTGGTTTTGAGGTTCTATGGTTAGAAGAACAAGGGCCAGAAACTGTCAAGACAGTTTCTCCTGAGACATGGTGAGATTCTGGACAACGGGTAGGGGCCAGGAGCTGACTGAACTCTTCAGGAGAGAATCTACAAGGCTGTGGGACATAGTAGGGCTGCTCTGGGGCCCAGAGGATGCATGCACCTCAGGACAAGGAGAAAAGTCTTCCTGCTCTGTCCTGGCTCCACCCTCGGAAGGA